GGTGCAATCAATTTCGCTGGGATCAAACTCAATGCCCGCCGTGGCATTCTCCCCAGGATCTACAACCTGCTCGGGCTCATCCGTAACTTTTGGCGCTTCAGTCGTGGTCGTTGTTGTTGTTGTTGTTGTTGTGGTTGTCTTTTTGGGCTTCTTGGGTTTCTAGAAAAGGAAAATATTAAACAAAAATTTGCAAAGATCTATTCCAAAAGGGAGTCACCTTTGTGGTGGGTTTCTCGGTGGTGCTGGGCACAGCTGGCGCCGGGGCTGACGTGGGCCGAACTCCCGTTGCGGTTGGTTTCGGTTTACGCGTCGTCGTCGGCTGCGCGCCGCTGACCTCCTCGTCGGGATTGGCTGGAGTGGAGGGCGGCTTGGCCCAGTCGGGTCGCGGCGTTGTCTCCCGAGTTGGCTCCGGGACGCGGTAGTCCCGCATATTGTTGTGGAGTATCTGCATGAGGCCGTTCTTGGGGCCGCACAGGCCATGGAAGTCGTCCATGTCGATGGCCCAGGTCATGGCGCCGGCATAGCCCTTGGCCTTGATGAAGTCCATTTTGATCTGGACCGAGGCCTCGTTCTCGTAGCCCACCCACTGTGTGTCCTTGTAGGTGTAGGGCACCATGCCCGCATCGTCCCACTCGACGGTCCAGCCCTTCGACTTGTCCATCACCTCCGTGCATATCTCATAGTAGGCCAGAAAGCCGCTCGCATTCGTATACGGACCGGGCGCACCGCCGCCCGCCTCCTTGTTGATGTACGTGCCCATGTTGTAGTTCTTGTTCGAGTTGCTCAGCGTGAAGGTGCGCCCATAGAAGGGGATGCCCACCACCAGCTTGTTAGCCGGACAGCCCATCTCCTCCCACAACGCCAAGCCGTCGTGCTTGAAATAGTCGCAGGCGTTACTTGGAACCGGAGCTGAAGATCGCTGGGAGCACTTACCACATTGAGTCGCTCGTAGGCGTATTGATCGTGCTTGCGCTTGTAGAGCGGACTGTGCACGTCCGCGAAGCCGGCCCAGTTGCCGCGCAGGTCATAGGTCATGGCGTGAATGGCATCGAGGAGTCTACAAAGCAGAGTTAGTTAGTCGGCAGCGCAGCTAGCTCCATGGCGGCCACTCACTCGCACAGCTCGGGCACATGGTAGCCCTCCTGGAGCCGGAACTTGGCCACCGGCACGGCCATCGTGATCTCCCAGCCACGGCCCTCGCGATCGAAGGCGCGTCGCAGCTCCTGCACGAAATACAGGAACTTGTCCTTGTCCCCGAAAGTTCCACCGCGATCTGTGGCGCCCGGGTACTCCCAGTCCAGGTCGAAGCCATCGAAGTCGTACTCCTTCATGAACTGCACCACGCTGCGGATGAAGCGCTGCCGGCGATCCCGCCCAGCCGACATTTGCGAGTACTTGGCCCCGCCCTCCGCCCAGCCGCCCACGGCTATCTGCAGCTTCAACTTGGGATGCGTTTGTCGCAGTTGCGTAAACTTGCGAAAGCCCTCCTGATCGACATCCAGCTCGGGGTCGATGACCAGCACATCCCAGCTCTTCTCGTCCACGCCAATAAAGGAGTACACCAGATGCGTGCACAGCTCGCCGGGCACATCCTCCAGGCCGTAGCGTCCAATGCCCGGCCTATAGACGGCCCAGTTGCTGAAGTAGCACACAATGCGCGCCGGCTGATCCTTGGATCCCAGGATCAGGCCCGGCACGCCCAGCAGCAGCGGCAGCAGCAGCAGCAGCATGAGATGATGATGATGCGCTGGGTGAAGAAAAAAAAAGAATTGCAAAACTGGCTTTAAAATGGGGAATATTTTTAGAAGAACCTAGGAGAAATGCTTTCATTTTATAGGGCAAAGAAAATAATTATATTTTATTTGTGTTTACTGTGATTAACTGTCAAGATAAGAAATAAAAATTTCAATTATATAAAGGAATTGGAAGAATGCGCCGACTTGAAATTTAAAAGTATATATACATATATATGTATATATATATTTTGTATAATATATAAGCAGATTAATTTTTAATTTTTAAAAAGTATATATATATTATAATATATAGTACTCCCATTACATAAGCAAAGTAATTTTAAAAGATTTTTCCCATTATTTCTTCCATTTCCATAATATCGCTTTTCACACATTTGCGCATAACTCGAAGATTATCAGATTTTTATACACACATAACTTGGCATATAGGTTCTTGTCTAGTCTACACTGACTCGGAACTTTTCTTATTTGATTACCCTTTTCCAATTGGAAAAGCCTTGTGCCCTGATTACCAATAGTTAGTAGGAATACAAAGAGCTATAACATTTCAAAAACAGTCGTTATTCAACCGAGATATTCAGAAATAATTATCAAAAGAGTTTTGATTTTCGAACCGAACCCGATTTGCACAAAAAACGTGCTTTTTTTCAATTATGTATTGCCAATCGATAGTATAGTACTGATCCGTACGAGTCGAGATCAAATATCTGACATTACAATATACTCAGACGAATAGATAGAGATTTGTGGATGTGGCTGGATCGACTGATCGACTGATCCATACCATATGCATATCCATATCCATTCAGAACGAATGCATTCACCTAAAGGCTGCAGTTTTTGCAAGTGAATATGACATAAAAAAGGAACTGATCAATTGAGTAGATTCACATACTGTTCCACTTAAGTAAGGTGCATATATATATTTTCTGCATTTCCTTATCTTATTGCCCTGTTTTTCATTTGCCTGATCATTTTTGGACTCTTTGACTATATTCAATCGGAACACATAGCTTTTTTCAGGTGGATAAAGGAAAACTGATCAATCAGTTAAATGAAGTATTTATATCATTTTTTGATTGGATCAACTCAGCTCATCTTCCATTCCATTTCCATATTCATTCAGAGCACATAACTTTTGTTCAAGTGGATATAGAAGACAAAGGAAAACTGATCCATCAAGTAGATGCAGTAAAGTATTTATATTCTCTGCATTTCATTAGCGTAAGTCTTATCACTTTTGCATAACTCTGGAGATGCCAACGTCTTTAATATCGCGTTAAGTTCAATTCTCCGAAAGTTAGTTGAAATGTTGCGACTTGTTATTCCAGATCCACGCGCGTTGCATGCATAAATCAAAATCAAAATAAAACTTCAAATGCACTCGCGACTTTTCATTATCTATATACACATATATATATGTATATATATGTATATTCCTTTTTGTTTTGGGCGTGCTAAGGTTGCGCGTCCATAATGCCGCACATCGGCTTCGAGTTGGTTGAATTGAACGAGTTCATTCACCGAGATATATATATATTTGTATTCACTTAATATGCAGGGCGAGGCTTACCCATTTCTTAATGCTATAAACTATACGAATTCGGAACGGGGATCTCCGACCACGACGACTTGATGCGACGCCCGTTTGGCGACAAATGACAGTCGCAGCCGGGGCGAGCTACGCTTTTATACTTGGTCGGGAGTTGGGGTCCGGTTCTTCGGGTGCGCCTCTTTGTTCCTTGGCCAAAGTGCGTGCGATGCAAAAGATTCGTTCTTGTTTTGCTTTTGGCTCGAGTTTTGGGCTTGGGTTGCGACTGTGCTCAATTCCAGATCTCGCGACTTTCTTTCTACTTGTTTTTGTTTTATTTTCTGTTTCGTTTTGTTTTGTTTGGTTTGTTTATGTTCTAGAATAAGCAAATGGCTTAACCCGTTTCGGATAACACACTTCCGCTGTCCATCCTGGCAAGAGAGTGCGTCAAGGCAGAAAGGCAGGCACAAAAAGAAGGAGTTCGTTGGCCTCGCCTAATGCACAGATAAGCTGGCCAGAATGGCACTTATTTCCATGCACTTTATACACTCAGCGAAAATAGGAAGAAGTATGTTGTGCTTCAATCAAATGCAGTTTGGCTAATTGTTTTTTATATATTAATATAAAGCTGGGCAACAGCAGGCTTTGCGATCTACTCGAGACTTGTTGCCGTCGACCCTTCTCGCAGCTTTAACTGGTTGAGAATTGCAAGCGCCAAGGAACAATAAACATTTATTTTTAATTATTTCATATATGTATAGTAATAAAAATAAATATATAAATAAAGGCACGTCAGCTTAAGTTCAACAGCGGGTTTTCCTATCTATTCTGCAATTGCAGTTGCTTTCTAACTTAATTGCAGCTTTAACTAGTTGAGAATTGCAAGCTAGCATTTCATATGTATTTAATATAAATATTAAGCCTTCCGGCTTGAGATCTACAGCGGAATTTGCGTCTCCGGAAATTGCGGCCTTTTACCCTTCGCGCACCTTTAACTGGTTGAGAATTGCAAGCTACTAAAAAACATAGCGAGCAAATTGTCTCACAATAAAGTTGTTCATATTGCTCTAGTTCCCAAATTGAATCAATATGCAGCATTAAAAGTGATTAATTTTTGGGCTCATTTCAATTATGCAAATTGTTGTATTCTACTTTAATGTATTTCGAGCCTAAGCCACATTTTTATTATTTTATTAATATTTCTTAATATTTTTTATTTATTTTTTATTATTCATTTAGTTTTTTATTATTTATATTAATTATTTATATAGTTCATAGTTATTATTATTACGACCTAAATGTGCTTCATTCTTAATTTAAGAATATGCAAGAACTAAATTTACTTTTATTTCGAGCATTTTTATTATAGTCTTGCCCCTCCGAAGGACCTAAAAAATGATTTTTAAATATTCTTTCTTTTAATTAAAAATCTATATATTTAATATGATCAATTGTAGAGTCTGTTCGTTTAAGTCTAAATAGAATAATAGGAAAACAAAAATAGTTTGAACCAAAAATAAATGTATTCTATTCGAGTCACACAACACTTTTTCGTTCTCCAAGTGCATACATTAACTTAAGGCTTACAACTAAGCAGTTATCTAAAGACCGCTGCGTATATCAATGGCCAAAGTGGGATCCTCAGTTGTGGTGCTCGGCGTGGAGCTCGGCGTGGTGTTTGAAGGCGCTTCGCTGCTCGGGCTGGACTCAGCGGATTCCTGCTCGTTATCTGCAAGACACACACAATCAAGTTAATACAGCAAACTTTATGTCCAAGCGTACTTGAAGCCACCTTTGAAAGGCGCCAATGGAGTCTTATGGTGCGGTCCCGGCTGTGGATAGCCATTGCCGTATGGCGCAAAGCCAAAGCCAAATGGCATCGGATAGGGCGCAAAACCAAAGCCAAAGTTGCGACCATATCCGTGACCATACCCATGACCATATCCATGACCATATCCATGAGCATGGCCGGGCCAATGGTCTGGTGCAGCGCGATGCCTGCTGTGCCGGCCGCAGAGCACAGGCCCAGCCGGATAATCGCGGTCATGACGAGGCTGGCGCCTCAGGGCGCTCGCCGATGCAACGGGCCATAAATCCTGGCTGATATCAAGGTGGCTGCAGGTGGCGAAAAAGAGGCATTCATTCGTTCAGGCTGGCACAGCCATATTAGAGCTTAGAGCAATACACCCATACATACGCATTCTCCACGGCGGGCAGCAGGCTACACAGGGCCAAGAGCGTCAACTGGGCGGAAGATAAATGTGCACGGGACTTGAGATATGTCTCGACTTTGGGAAAGATGCAAATGCAGAACTTACGAATGTAACTGACATTATCTGTGCGCCTGTTTAACGGCAAACTGAACTTCACACCTGAACACACACCTTCGAACTGAAGTTGAGGCTAAGCGACATCGCGACTCACTTAATTCCGCACAATTAATGCGTCGACATTGCCCGTGGCTTGGGTTTTTTTTTTAAATTTTATATATTTTATATATATATACATACTTATATATCAATCTGAGTCGCGTACACTCAGAGTTTTGAGTTGTTTTTTATGCGCATCATCAGCAACAACAACAACAACAACAACAACTGCGGATTTAAGCCAATCAGGTTTAATGTAGTTTCAGGTTTTTTTTCGACCTACACGATTTGTAATTCTTTTTAGTATATACCCTATAATAAGCTTTAAACGTATGATAATTAGCTGAGAGCGCAAAGCGCGCGTTGACGTCGCTTTTGGTCCACTCTAATTGCTGGCTTTTAGTACGAGCTAATTGCCGCCCTTTAATTTGTCTCTTTTATTTGTTGCCTATAAATATTAATCTCTTTTCGCGATTTCCTAATTAATAAAGACCATTTTTTTTAATTTGTTCGCATTTGTCGATTTCTGCTCCATGGTCACGATTATGCTAATCGGATGTAAGAATTTGATAAGACATTTCTTTGAGTTCTGTTTCTTTTTAGAAAGTTATCGCATGCTCTACATTTCACATACAGCTCAGCATGCCACAACCACCCCCCCCCCCCCTCGGTCTGCCCCTCGCCAGCAGCAGAGGCCACCTGTCAGCCAATTTGCCTATACGCCCACACACACTCAACTCTTGTGTGTGTGTGTGAGTGCGTGTGGCGACTGTTTGTCATGCCGAAAGTGTTGGGCGCGTTTTGTGCTTCACAGTCTGCTTTGGTTTTATACCCTGTAAGCATAAGGTGATAATAAAGGGCATACCTGTTTCTAGAGATTGTATGTAACATTCAGAGGTTATATGCTAGAAAGAGTTTACTATACTAAAAAGTTGACTTCTTCTATTGGAACTATTCGAATTTGTTGAAACATGACTAACTACTGATTATGGCAGCAAGAATTTCATTACCTGCAGATATTTAGCCTTTCCAAGTAGCTGAAAGTAACTGTAAGGCATGACAAACTACTGACTAAAGCAGCGAGGCTTTCATGAACTTCATGCTTAGTCTTCTTAGATAGTGAGAAAAGAACGTGAAAAATAACTTATATCTGTCTGTATGTGTTATTCATGTTATCTTTTCTATATTGCTAAGTATTGGGCTACTTGAGAGAAATATACAGGGTATTTTACAGTCGGTCACTGCTGTCACATGTGCTGCAGATAAGCTATCTTTATGTATATTAACTTTATACATACAATCAGGTTTAAGACTACGTCCGATCTGATTGCAGGGTATCCCATAGTTGATCAACCTAATTGATATACTACTTTAGATATATACAGGGTATGCACTTCTCAATCATGTGAACATTTGGCTGCAGATAAGCTATCTTATACATACAAACAAGTTTCAGGCATGCAGGGTATCCCATAGCTGGTCATCCTTCTTTTAGTGCTCCATGGGCTTGTCACTCTCTTGTTGTTGTTGTTGTTGTTGTTGGCCAGCCTCTTGTGCGTTTCATTGTGATTCATGGCACGGGGGCCACTTTTGTCATCGCGAGAGTCCACATTGATCTTGAATTTCGCTGGCAATTGTCGCCAGATTCGCACAAAGTAACCGCCGGCCAGTTACTCTTCCTGTTCCGCAACCTTGGGCTGTAATCGTGAGCGATAAGTGAATAAAATTAAATGCTTGGGCGGGATTTGAATTTTCAACTATATATTCTTTATTGATAACATTTATCTCGTCTTTTCGCAGTTGTTTTCAATTTGCAAACAATAATTCATATTATGTCATACATTATGTATATGTATATGTATATGTATATGTATATGTATTTATGCAATATTTGTAATTGTTTTTGTGAAATACGCGTGGAATTCCTAGTCGAATTTAAGCCAGAACTAGCATATCGAATTGACTTGGCTTGAACTAAGGTCAAAAATGGTTTTCAAGCAACATTTACATATGTTCACATATAGCACCGCGAAATGTACAAATTATGATTGTTTTTCTCTTTCTTTTAATAATATTTTAATAATATTTAATATAATCATAATTAGCAAGTATATTGTATGAATATCAAGAGCTTGGCGCCAATGAAGAAACTAAAAGAAAATACTTAGCATTAAATAAAGCTTAAAACTTGTAACAATTTAAATTAAAAAAACTTGCGATAAACTTAAAATCGATTTTTGTACAATTTGCTTGTTATTTTTGCTTCTTCTTTAATTTTATATACATATATATATTTTATATATGTGTATATATTTAACAGTTTATCGTTGTGTGTTTACTATATGCATATATTTTAATATATTTATATATATATATATTGTGATATTTTTCATATTTTTTTTCTTTTTAATAACTTTAAAAGTTATACAGACATTAACATTGAATTGCATTGCGTGTAGTTTTTAATATATTTCATTGACTTTCTTGTGCTTAAAATACATTCAATATTTACTTTTTTATTCATTTTTAAATCGCTTCACTTCTTCTTTGCTTGCTCCGTTTAATTGCCTGGCTAATTGACCTACATTTAAATAATTGTTTAGTTATTTAATTAAATTTTTTACTTTTATCATTGCTGCAATGCAAGTGCATGAGTAAATATAACCTGAACCCATTGAAAAAAGTATCGATAGGGTATGATGTTTGGGTGAATATGCATGTAACAGGCAGAAGCAGGCTGCTTTGAGCCTACAGGGTATATTTGCTCTTGAGCAGAAGGATTCCGTTCATGTGTATTAACATATCAATTTCAGAAACTTCTCCTCAAATTGAGCTCATTTTAGCTCATTTGCATGAAAATTTGATAGAGATCGGACAATAAATACCGAAGCAAAGTGAGAAACTAAGAAAAGAAGTGTATCTATGTTTTTGGTGCATGTATGTATAGAATTCCTTCTAGGTAGAATGTTTGGGTTCAGGGTATCTACTAGTCGGGCACTTCCGACCACAATTAGTTACTTGTTTTTTTATTTTTTTTTAATATGTGCATGTTTGTATTTGCTTTAATATGATGTAGGTTTTTTTGCTCTGCTCCTCTTTTAAATATGTTATTATATTATATTTTAGATTAGGTTTTAAATAGTTTTGTGATAGTAGGTACATTTGAAATATTGCCAAGTTGTGAAATGCTTTGAAAGTGCGCCTTGAAATGCTTTTGTTTGAGCTGACCCCGCCCCTATATACTATATATATACTATATAGAGAGGGGGCGGGGACTGACTGATTTTTGTTGCTATTTAGTTCCTAACTACCATTTGGTGCCCTTTGTTGTTGTTGTTGTTGCTTTTGATTTTGTTGTTGTTGTTGTTGTTGTTGTGATTTTGAAAAAGTCTGTTTGTATCAAATGCAATAATTGGCGACATATTGTTGTTGTTCTTCTTCTTCTTGCTTTGGGGAGTTTTTTTTTTTGGAAAAAATGCGCTACTCTGCACAAAAGTCTGTTGCAAAAGTCTTTAAAGTTATTGTTTTTAGTTACCAACACACACACATGCCTCCGATATATGTACTTGTATGTATATATGTATATATATATTTTGTAATATTATTTTGAGAGCCCGCACAGGAACGTGTACAACAAGTATTGATGCGCCGTAGTTACCAGTTCGTATGTATGTATCTATATAGACCGATATCGGTTTGGACTATATAGTATAAGCGAGGACAGTCAATAAACTGTACTTTAATTTTATATAATTTTTACTATACGCATCATTTAGAGAACGTTGCTTTAACATTTGATGTAATTGCCATCCATTTATAATGATTATTTAACACGCTTATCTGATATGTTGCATCTTTATGTAGTATATAATATGTAGTATATATATCTATATATGTATATATATGGGTGCGAGTATGTAAGCATCAACAGTCGTTATACCCTTGTAGAGGATGCTATATAATATATAGATTTATGATCAATAGGAGCCAGGATATAGCCATATTAGCAAGCTAGCCTCATGAAACTTTGCATGTGCCTGAATCAGCCGGATCGAAGTACTATATCATATAGATACCATTGGAATAATAGATCGCAAATTAAGTTCTTGATTGAAAAACTGTTTTGGATTTCAAAATTATTTCTCCTATTAGTTGCATTATGATCCATACATATGAGCTAAAGCTAAAGCTCTATATAGGAAGAATCGATCGAAAAATGAGAATTTGTGCGATGAAATGTTTTTTGTTTTCCAATATATTCTCGATCAAACGTGGAGCTTCAAACCGGACTACTATAACTTATAGCTACCTCATTTGGATTTGGAATTCTTTTGAATTATTTTGCCTACAAGGGTATTTAATGTTCGGCTTGCCGAAGTTAGCCGTTCCTTTTTGTTCCTGTTATTATTTTGCTTGCCTAAAAATTCGTTAATTTATGTATTCTTTTTTTTTTGTTTTTTGTTGATATCTTTAAAATTTGTTGTTACACTTCAGTCAAATAACAATTGATACGATTTCGATTTTAAATTTCAATTAAAATTGTTATTTTTTTTTGTTAGCAAAGTTTGATAGTTTGATTTTGTATTTGTTTTGAAGTTTCGAAGATAAATGCAGCTGTTATTGTGCTTATTTGTTATATTTATACTCTATAGATTGCGCCGCCGACGTCGGTCGGGTAGTTGGGTTAGTTGGTGGCCTTTAGCGCTTAGCTGTAAAAATTGTCGCGCTGCTGATATAACGGCAGTGGTTCGCTTGGCGACTCCGAGCGTCGCTCCTCGTCGCTGTCCTGGCCCGATTGCCCCTTGGCCGTCTTCGACATGGCTTTCTCTGTGGGTCAACAGAAGGAAAGAAACAAATATATATATATCTATATCTTTATATATATGGCAAATGCAATTCGAGTTTAAGGCGAGCCCAAAAACCATCCCAAGCGTGCTGTAAAAGTTGGAGTTAAAGAAAGTTGAAAACCTTTTGTACAGGAGTTCATATAAATAGATATATATAGATATATATGTTGGTATAGTTTGGTTTGTTTAGTTTGTTTTATGTTGTTGTTGTTGTGGCTGTTGAGCTTATACTTACTCGTCTCTTGAGCTTTGCTGGACTGTTTTAGTTGGTATTTTCTTTTTTTTTTCTCATTTTTACACAGTTTTTGCAAGTGCATTAATTTTGTTGAAGAGCCTGAACTGAAGACAACTAATTTTAAGCTTAAAGTTAATTTTATGCCATGATTTTTCTTTTCTTTATTTACTTATTTGAATTGTGTCTTATTTATTGATATAAATTATGTGTATAAATATCAAAGAGCTTGTCCTGACTAAAAGGTAAGGAAAATTCAATTTATACAGAAGCTTGAAATTCGAATTCCCGTGAAGAGAAAATGCATAGAAAACTTGGCAAAGACGCGCTTAATTAATCTCATTAAGTTAAAATGCAATCAACACCTGTTAGCTATATCCAAAAGAGAGAATTTAATCAACATCTGATCATTATATGTTATATCTTATAGGAAGAATCTAACTAACACCTAATAACTATAGCTGGAAATCAAGGCATTTAATCTATCTGATAAGATTATTATTTTAAGGATATTTTATCTTCAGCTTCTTTCAACTTCTATGCAAAGTAAATCTTTAAAATCGTTTCAATTTTTTTTTTAAATAATTTTCAATATTTTCTTCTTTCTGCTTTTCCAATTGATTTGCACTGTGCTGTGTTGTTTTTTTTATAGATTTATTAAAGTGCCATTTTTTGTGTATAGCTAAAAACTCGATATAAATGCTGTTGTGTGTGTGTTTGTGTGTGTGTGTGTGTGTGTGTGTGTAGAGATGTATTTATTTTCTTATATTATTTGATGATAATATTACAAGCGCGTGCGTGCTGATTAGTTAGGCCAATTCCAAGCTAATAAACTAAGCAAATTTTATTTATAAATTCAGACCAAAAGTCGGCAAACTACGCAGATATATATATATATATATATATCATATATCATATTTATAATTAGGTATTGTAGAAACAAAATGTGTACAAACCTTGACTTACGCATTTGTTTAATTGTTGTTTAACTTTGTGCTTGTTGTTGTTGTTGTTGTTGGTACTTGTTGTTGTTGTTGTTGCAATTGCTTTGTTGTTGTTGTTGTTGTTGTCGTTTAGTATTTTGTGATTGAACTGATTTTGTTTGTTGTTGTGTTTGTTTGTGAGCTTAGCATGCGATAATCTCAACGTCGCGTGAGTTCTTGCTGTGCTGGTTTTTTTTTATTATATTTTGTTGTGTTTGTTGTATGTATGCAGTTGTTGTTGTTGTTGTTGTTATTGTTGTTGTTATTGTTTATGCATATGTAACTTGGTTTACATAAGACACATTTGAACCTGGTCAACAATTCGTGGCCCATTTGACAACTCAAACAAATAACAAAAAAATGTGAACATTAAAATAGAAACAAAAACAAAAACATAAACAACACGACAAGCTACAATTGAGTTAGTTGTGACTAGTGGGATTGCCTAAAAGTATGCAAGAAAATTATAAAAATAAATAAATAAAAAATTCAATTTTATAAAATATGCATAATAATATCAGAAATATACAAACACAAAATAGATTTAAGCTATGCTGTACAGAAAGAAAAAAAAAACAGCTCTTAAATTTAGGAATCAATTTTAACATGAACTGTAAAACATTTAACATCAATTGTAAATTTTTCGATGAGAATGTATAGAATTTGAAACTTTTTTTGTTATATGGTTAAAAACTTTTAAATTTATGAATTATTTTTAACATGAACTGTAAAACATTTAACATGAATTGTAAAAAGCGGCATATGCGCATTTTACGATGAGAATTCATAGAATTTGAAACTTTTTATGATATATAGCTAAAAACTTTTAAATTTATGCATTATTTTTAACATGAACTGTAAAACATTTAACATGAATTGTAAAACACGGCATATGCGCAGATTCGATAAGAACTCATAGAATTTGAAACTTTTTATGATATATACCTAAAGATGCATATAATTATATATGCACTCAATAGTTAAATGCATGATAGGCTTATGTGGGGCATGTTCTATGTCTGGGAGTGTGGTATTGACTGTGGAAGAGTATCTGAAGTGTGTTTAAGTGTTTGTCAGTGGAAATATATGAATTTCGTACGCCCTTTTTGATGAGCTCGCAATGAGATGAGAATGAGATGGGATTCGATATGGAATAAGAGGCGTAACACTTTACAGATGCATATGCATATGATATGTATTCATTAATCGTCTAGAAAATTAGAAAGAGTCGAGAGAGAATATATATATATAGTTAGATTAGAAGAGCATAGAGACAGTTTTGAATGAATGGGTCAATGCTGTTGTTTATAGATGAATACACTGAATAAACGCTTAAGATACATATAGAAATACATATATGTGTGTGTGAGAGTGTGATGTGATGTAACAGAAATAAAAAAAAACATAACAATTTGGAGCGCATATTATTTATTAGTAATTAACATAAACATGGAACGTAAACTCAACTGGCAGGCATCGGAATACTTATAAGGAATTGCTTCGGACATCGAATCGAACTTAACTTTAATCTTCTTAAATAATTCATTTTGTGAATGGATTCTTGGATCTACGTACCGGCAACAATTTTGCTGACTTGCATGACTTGTTGGGCCAATATTTGATTTAGCTGCAGTAAATGCTCGCGCTGCTTCTTCTCCGCGTTGATCTTGCTGGCAGGCAGCGTCTCGTTCTCCTGCAGGGGAAAGAGGTAGAAAGAGATTGAGTTGAGATAAATGTTATATATATTATATTTATATATTATAATATAAATGCTTCCCGGCTTTGCCAGGGTAAAGTTATTTTCATTAAGCATAAAATGCCTTTGTCTTTCTTTTTCATCTTGAGTCTGGAAAATCAATTGATTGGCGAACGGACGAATGTGAAGCTTGGCTTCAACTTTCCTAACTAAAGAAAGAATGAAAAACATCTCCAATGAACTTTCAGAAGGATCCCTTTAAATGTTTTGAAAGCAGATCTAACAAGAAACGAACTTTTATTCCAAAATCGAACATTATTTGGCTGAGATATTCCAAGAAATCATCAAAAAAGGTTGACTTTCCAAACGAATCGTTTTTTGGTCAACAACTTTTTTTAACTCATCTATTTTTAATTTGTTTGAATGCCAATTGATAGAAGAGATGCGTACGAATTCAAAAAGGTATAACTATAATTTCAAAATCAGACAATATTTACCCGAGATATTCAAAAAAATTATCAAAATATTTATATTTATATTATTATTTATATATTTATATTGTTATTATTTGTCAACTCTCTGAATCTAATATTTAAATTATATATATATTTTTTTATAATTATTATTATTTTTATATATTTATATTAATATTTATGTATTTATATTATTATTATTTGTCAACTCTCTAAAATAATTTCATAAAAAATCATCTATGTCAAAAAGTAACCACTGTGAAAAATGCAGCTTTCTAGCTCTTCCGGTTGGGGCTGTGCTTTGATCGTCAATCAATCAGTTAGTCAGTCAGTCAATCAACAAGAGATATATTTGTATTTATAGAGTTTACTTACATTGCTGCTTATGGGCGCTTCAGAGAGCATTTTTTTAATGGATTCGACCTTCTCCTGGCGACGCTTCTTCTCCTCCGGCGACAGTTCGGGCGTCTGTTGGTTTAGATCAATCAATCAGGTCAATCAATTAGCATAAGGCTCGGGTACTTACTGTCTCTGGTATGTAACGCTCGGGTATGACTATCTTGTTGGGCGCCAATAGCAAATTGTCAATGGTATTCTCGGAGATCTTCTCGCCCTGGCCGAGCGCGGAGCGGACCACATCGGGCGCATTGATGCGCGGACGCAGCGCCACCTCCATGTCCAGATCATCGCGGGCACGCCAGTTGGTGTTCTGCAGGTGAACAAAGAAAAAACCTTAAGCATGAGGCAGGACAATCTAGAGAGTCTGTTTCAGTTTACATTGCGATTCATGTCGTTCTCGGCCTGCACCTTCTCCATGGCCTTCTGGTTGACATTGTTGGGCGCCGTGTAGTGCCTCCGCTTCTCGCGCGGCACAGCGCGTCGATGCTTGTGCGGCGGCGGCACGCGCTCGACAATCTTTTCGGTATCCTCCGACGCCGAGCCGGCGGACATTTCGTTGATGATCTGCCGAGCGGCGACGCTCTGGAATACCGGCTCCGGGCTAATGTCCGTCAAGCTCTTGTTGAGGCTCTGCAGGGAATCGGTCTTGGTGCGCAGAGCCACCCGTGCGCTGTCCCTGCCCGGATGCGTCTGCTGCTGCAGCTGCTTGGCAAAGTAGGCATTGGCCAAAGGATTCAGATGCTCCCGCTCCCGCTGCTGCTGCTCCCGCTGCTGCTGATGATGATGATGGCCATTGCTCTGTGGAGCTGGCGGCGGCGGCGCCTGATGCTCGTAGTTGCTGTTCCGATCGTAGTCGGAGCCACCATTGAAATGGTGTCCATTCTGTTTGCCATTCAGGTGCCGGCTGTGCCGGGGCTTTGGCGGCTCGCTGTAATTCCTTGGCAGCGACTTGGAGCGGCTGTGATGCCCGTTGCTCATTTGCTCCTCGAGGAGCTGCTGCTGCTGCTGCTGTTGCATCTGCTGAGCGTAGTGCTCCTCCTCGAGCACCTGGTCGAGATTCTGTATGGAATTGCTCAGGCCGCGCTCGCTGCGATCGCGATGCCGTCGCTCCGATTCGCGCTTGACAATGCGCACCGTTTTGATCTCCTGCTTCTCGAGATTGCTCAGATTGGCAAACGGGTTGCTGTCCAGAAAGCCGTCGCTATCGACGCCGCTCATCTCGAGGGCATCGCTGCTGCTGCCATTGTAGCGACTGTAGTCGGCCAGCTTGCCGGAGCTGTTCGTGTCCACGTAGAGGGGCGTGGACAGATTTAGTGTGGAATCATTTAGATGCTGCTGGCTGCCATTGTGCAGCATATTGGCATCCAGATCGGTTTCGGTCCAGCTGGTCGAGTTGCTGCGCTTCTTCAGGCTGCCGTTCGAGGGCGGGCTCAGCTCCTTGTTGCCAATTTCCTGGTACAGGCGCGTCGAGTTCTCCGTCAACTGACGCACCGCGGAGCTCAGCTCGTGGCGCTGCCGCTGCATGTCCCCGACCAGAGACTGGACTCGCTCCAGCTCCGACTGCAGCACCGCCGCCGTCTGGTTGCCGTTCAGCTGGCTGGCATCGTTGCCGGCGCCATTCGAGCGCGTCGCCTGCACCTTCTGCCGCAGCGTCAGCAGCTCCTGCTCCAGACGCGCATTGCCCGCCACCGTCTGCTCCAGTTTCTGTGGAATCATAAAACAAGGATTTAGTTTCGAGTTCCAAAGCTGAGACTATGGCACATGCAGCAATCGCAGCAAATACAATCGAGAGGCAATATGTAGAAGTCTTTTGCATTTGATACTATACCAAGATCTGGCTTGGACATTAACTAAAGTCAGGTATTAAAACCAATGCTTAACTGAACCGATTCAAACTATAAACTGAACGTTCATAAATTATTTATTCATCATGAATTGCATTGAGCCGAACCAGATACTCCCGCTCTTAGCTAAAAACTTATTTAAGATGAACCGAACCAAGGCTAAAACTCACAAAGTCGAACTAGAAGCTCTTGCTTACAAAGATTCAAGCCCGGATCTTTCGTTTTTTCTATAAAATATATTAGCTTCAAACCGAATTTACATTTTTTTCTTAGTATAATCCGAATCGAAAGTTTAACTGAGCCGGTTCCAACCAAAAACTGTTCGTTTCATCATAAATTACATCGCTTCGAGCCCAGAATTCGAACTAATAATTTTTTTTTATTAACTAAATCATTTGAATCCGTAAAGTACTTTTCTTTTCTTAACTACAAACTAAAGGGCGAGGGCTGAATTGAACCAGTTCATGAATTATATCAGTTATCCCGTAATTTAAATGTTTAACTAAAAGCTCAACCGTTCCGAACTAGAAACTTTTGTTTTTTATCCATGAATTAGATCTGTGAAGTGAACTTGATGCAACTTATAGCTATATTAAGAACTTGTAGAATGTAGAAAGCAGCTGCAAACGATTTCTGTTATTTCTAGCACTATATTCGTCATAATCAATTTGCAATTTTAAGCGTTCGTTCTCTGAACTCTTGAGGGGAATCGATTTACACATCGAAACAAAGCAGTTAGTTAAATATGTTTTTTTGTTGTTTTTTGTGATTTTTCTCATTAGTTACAGAAGCGACATGCGAAGCTAAAGCAGACAAAGACTAGATATTTATATATAGTATACGAATATCGGACACACATATAATGCAAAAAACTTCTACTAGGCACCTGGGCTACCTTTGAGTTCTCGGCGAGCAGCTGATGCACGCGGGACAGCTCGCGCTCCAGTATGTGCTGTTGCTTTTTGGCCGCCTCCAGCGCCATGGGCGTGGCATTGTTGTCATGTATGCGCGCCCGCAGACCGCCGAGAGCCCGCTCCAGATCCTCCTTGTCACGCTGCAGGCTCTGCAATATGCCCGACTCCTCCTGCAGCAGCTGATCCAGCTGATAGAGCTCACGCACCTTGGCCTGAAAGATTGGGAATGTGAGTGGGATATATGAGAACGGACTGTAAGCTGAGTATATACCTGCAGCTCGGCCTGATTGGGACTGAGGCGCTCCCATTGCTTCTGCTCCTCCTGCAGCATTTGGCGCTCCTGCATGCGCTGATTGAACTCGAGGCGATCCAGTGTCGCCGGCTGGGCGCGGCCATTGGCATCGTTGCGATAGAGCGAGCCCAGCTTGACCATGTTGTCCACCAGATTGACCAGCGGCTTGCTCTTCTCATACTGCCGCTCCAGGTCCAGCAAATGCTGCTTCAGATAATCCAAGCGCTGAATGCTCTCCGCTCGTGTGAGGCCCTCGGCGCCGCGTAGTCGATTCTGCATAAAATTCGAATCAAATTGCATGAGTAAACGTTTGAATTGACAGCATCTTTCGGTTAAACAGCTCGATTTTTAGTCACAGAAACCAACACCAACAACCAGCACCCATTTTTTATAGAGTTCACATATGGTTAACCACCTGCACATTGTGTATATCGCTGCAGCATTGCTCGATGGCCCGCGCCGTTTGGCTGCTCTGGCGGCGCAATTGGATCAGCAGCAGGACCAGCTCCTCGTGTGTGCGACTCAATAAATCGCCAGCCGAAACATCCAGGTTCTGTATTTAAATCAATCAATCAATCAATATATATGTAAGCCTATAACACATTTGCCCGACTGTGCTCAAATAAAAGAAAAACTGTTACATTTCCACTTGTTTTCCACCCATGCGAATGGAATTTTGTTTACTAATTAAATGAATTGTCTTATTGTGAAGAATGGAAAGGCTCGGTGGCTTAGTATTTAAATCAATTAATATATATGTATGTAAGCCTATAACACATTTGCCTTTAACACATTAGTCATTTTGCTAGATTTCCACTTGTTTTTCACCCATGCGAGTGGATTTGTGGTCACCGATAAAATTGATTGTCCTATTGTTTAGTATTCAAATCAATCCATCAATATATATGTAAGACTATGACACATCAGCCCGACTGTGCTCAAATAAAGTCAATCTGTAAGATTTCCACTTGTTTTTCACACATGCGAGTGGATTTTTGCTCACTAATTAAATGGTTTGTCTTATTATTTGTTGAGTAAAAGTGTAAAATTTGTGTTGTTAAGTATTTAAGTTTTCCATCAATAAGTATATATGTAAACCTATAACACATTTGCCCGACAGTGCTCAAATAAAGTCAATATATTAGATTTGCACTTGTTTTCCACCCATGCGAGTGGAATTTTGGTTACTGATAAAATAGATTGTCTTATTGTTTGTTGAGTGAAGAGTGGAAATTAATCGAAACTTTCCCTAGCATAAACTCAGACTCATCTAAGGGTTGGATTTCGCATTCTGCGTGCTTTGCGCAAAAGTTATCTTAAAGAAAAACTAAAAATGAGCACAAAAACCGCAGTTTTTCACCCATATTCCGAATGTTAACTCTGGCGGATTTGCTGATTGAATCTCAAAAAACCTCAAAAGCGATTTTAAAGACAATCGAATAAAAGTTTAAGCAAAAATATAATTGACATTTCAAAGTTTACCGCCCATTTATCACGCTTGTCTGTGGAATGGCCCAAAAAAAGAACACTTCTTTCAATGTCTGTGATAAATTAAACTTCCACACGCGCATGGCTTGCGCTGTCAATCGGGGATTTTTAAAAAATATACACACTTTCATTTATGGACATTGCCTCTGCATTTATGCCTCATCGACCACGCCCCTTGACCGCCCACTTACCCTTATCTGTGAGCTCGTCTCACGCTCGAGCATATCAATTTCAGCTCGGCTGCCGGCACGTCGCATGGCAAACGGCAATTGTTGTTGTTGCTGTTGTTGTTGTTGTTGTTGTTGCTGGTGTGGCGTCGATGTGGCCATGCCGACTGTGCGGCCATAAGGAGCGCGATCTGTCAGCTGTGTGGCCTTGGCATATTTGGTTTCCGTGCCGTTGCCATAGTAGGGATCATAGTGGGCGAACGCCGACTCCTGTTGCTGCTGCTGTTGCTGCTGCTGCAGCGCATCCGAGGGTTCCGGCTTGACCGTCAGGTTGACCTTGGGCAAATTGTTGACATTGCGCACCGAAATCGAGGCTGTAAAATGAGTTGGATAATTATTGAATGGGCGCTGCAAAATGCAGGACATGGCAGGCGGACTTGTAATTATAATGCGTGCGCGAAATAAATTAGAGAAAAGCATTAAATCGGGGTTAAACAGCGACTCAACTAAATACAATTTGTTCTTTTTTTTAATTTGATTAGCTGTCAGAAAGTGAAGGCGTCTACGGCAGCTGTTCAACGGGCAGCTTAACGCTGAAATTTTTGGCTGCGCGCAAAAGTATGCTACAGTTTTTTCAGGTTTCGACTATACAGCGTGTGTGAGTGTGTGTGTGTGTGTGAAAAGATGTGAATGTGTATGTGAATATGAATATTTACAAGCGCATTAATAATTACATAGGTGTGGGATTCAAGTGTCTTTTTATATATATATAGATGTTTATAAAGAATATTGCTTACCATTTTGTTAATGTAACAAAACAACACAACAATTATGACAACAACAATAACAAATAACAATAAAAAAATATATAGTGTAAACAAAAACAAGCAACAAACTATGAAAAAAAAACAATTGAAAAAAATTTAAAAAAATAAAGCCTCTTGCGGCTTTTACGATGAACTGCCAGCTTCCGCTCTCCCTCTCCCTCTCTCTCTCTCTCTCTTTTTCTCTATATATATCTGTCTTTCTGCCTCTCTATGCTTCTGACCCGGCATTAAGCTCTACCTGCCAATAATTGCATCATTTAATTCTAATCTCTAATCGGCCCACGTTGCGTATGCGTAATGCCTCAATTGTTTCCTCGTGCAGCCGCATTCACAATGGCATTCCCATTGGCATCGCTATTGGCTTCACTGCCTCCGTTTAGCTGCTGGATAATGGAGCGCACATTGCTAGTCAGCGGCAGCATGGGCCCACTGGAGGCGGCCGGCGTTCTGGTGGGCATGGTCTCTGGATTATTGCTGCTCTTGAGCAGGCCACTGGACATGGCGTCCCATTGGCGTATGGTCTCGCGATCCAGCTCGTTGGACTTGTGCGACAAATTGGAGCCCGTCTCCTCGCGCAGCACCTCATAAAGATCCGCATCCCCGGCCGAGCTGTGCGCCAGCAGCTGCACATAGACATCGTGCTCATCGGATTCCTGCGGCAGCGTTGCCTGCAGCAGACGCGGCGGCGGCTTGTGGTTATCGTTCACGTAGGTCACCTCGCGGCTGAGCTTTGTTTTGTGCGCCTGGCTAGTGGGCGTGGTCATGGGCGCTGGCGTCGGTATGGGCACGGAGGCCGTCGCCGCCGCCGCAATGCGATCCAGATCGTCCAAGGAGCGCGCGTGTCGCTGCGAGACGCGACGCAGACTCTCGCGCCACAGTGCATCCTCCTCCCAGAGCAGCTCGCCACCTAGAACTGAGAGTTGATTCGCGTTATTTGTGGTTGTGCTGCTGCTTTTCTCTAGCTCTAGCTCCAGCTCCAGGTCAAGTTCAGCTACGCCCACAACCAGAACCTCGGCCTCCGCTTCGGCCTCGGCCTCATCCAACAGGCTACCACCAGTCAGTTTAGGAGCGAGATTTGTGTTTTTAGTATTTGTAAAATGTGAATGATTTGGGTTTAATGAGTGACCATCGCCGCATGCAGCTGGAGGCACTTGCTCCGCCAGCTGGCCCAGCTGCATGTTGTTCAGCTTGAGCTGTTGCCCCGCCTTCAGATTCTTATTGCAGCTGTAGCTGAGCTTCTCAACGTTCGCTTTGACACTATACAGATTCTTGCTATCGATCGCCTGATCCTTGTCCACCAGCGCGTCCACATCCACGAACTGCCGCCTGTCGATCGGATTATGGATGTGCGCTATATTCAGCCCATGTGCGTGTATCTCCCGTTGATTGTTCAGCTGCGCCGCCGGCGTCGTCGCCGGCAGCTCGGAATAATAATACGGCGCCGATTGCGTTGATATATTGCTATTGTTGCGACTGTGCAGCGGGGTGAGGCAGGCGGCGGCGGCGGCGGCCGAGACGCTGCTGTTGCTGCTGACCAGCTGCTGTATGGAGTCCGTCGAGGATAGAAAGTGTATATTGCCATAGAAATGCTGCTCATCGCCCTCGGCATTGCGAAAGGTTTTCGGCGGCTTGATCAGCAGATCGGCGCCAGCTGCACGGCTGGGCAACAGATCGCTGCCCTGCAAATGACTGAGATACGTGTCCAGCTCGTGGCTGCTGAGCGTCTCCTCGAAGTGTTCGCTCATCGATTCGATTTCGCTGATCGATTCCTGCGAGAGCGGACGACGCGAACGCTGCCGCTCCAGCTCCGAGTCGGAGCGCTGGCGAAACTCCACAGATTCGCTCGACTCGCTGCTGTCGCCAACCGGCTGCAGCTGGAGCTTGCGATAGAGCTCCAGGTCGGAGGAGGAGGTGCGCGAGGAGCAGCTCTTCTCCGTCTGCCAGCTGTAGTTGGAGTCGGATAAGGTGCGTGCGTGCTGCTGCTGGAGCAGCACCTGGCCCGTGCCGGCTGCCCGGGCCGTAGCCCGGCGCTGCTGCTGCTGCTGCTGCTCCGGAGTGCCGCGCATCTTGGCAAAGTGATCCGGCAGCGAGAGGCGGCTGCTCTTGAGCACGGTGCTCGGCTCGGTTTTGGGCAAATTCAGCGAACTGTTGCTGGCATGCATCTTGGGCAGCTGCTCGTAGGACAGATGCACCTTGCTGTCGCGCCGGCGCACCGTATCGTAGTGCTCCGACGAGAAGATCTCCTCCGTTTTCAGCTCCTCCATGGGCGGCGGCGAGTCGGGTATCGGCGGCGGCGGCAATATCTCGCTGTCCGAGCTCTCCGCATAGTTGTTCAGCGGCGTCGACGCGCCCAAATAATACGACGCCGGACGGAACGTGTCCGACAGGCTGAAGCGTGTCCGGGAGCGCAATCTCTTGGCCTCCAGCTGCTGTTTGCTGCTCTCGTCGTCCGCATCGGAGCTGTCGCTGGCCGCCAGGCTGCTCTTGGTCGGCTTCAGTATGTCCGGCATATCTTTGCCCTGACGTTTTTTCGTACACTTTTTGCTTTTCTTCTTCAGCGTGGAACGGCCCGAGGAGCAGTGCGCCTCCTCGCCAGCAGCGACTGGGGCTGCGCCCGCCAACTCCATGTAGACGGGCTCCGTGTGGACTCTGCTGTTGCTCGTGCTCGTGCTTGTCATCTGGCTGGCTATGCACATGATCTCGTAGTTGCTTCTGTTGTCCTCGTCGTGCAGGTTCTTGGTCATCTCGACGTAATGGTTCTCCTGTTCCTCCGCCGCCGTCTCCTCCTCCTCGGCGTGCATGGCCACCAGACTGAGCGTGCCCGGCTGGCCCAGCTCCACCTTTTTGGGCGTCATCGGCAGATAGTGACTCTCGTCCAATGCCTGATCTGTCGCGGATACGGTCTCATTTACATACAGCTGCTGCGGCACAGGAAGAGGCGCCTCCTCCACATTATCCTCCTCCTCCTCCTCCTCGTTGTCGTCGTCGTCTTGTGCCAGCGCCTCATCTATGTCATCATCTGTGTACTCCTCGCAGGCGGTGCTCTCATCCTCCTCCTCCTCCTGCTCTATCTCCTCTACCTCCTCCTCCAGCTCTTTTTCCTCCTCCTGCTCCTGTTCAGCTGCCGCCTCACCTGGCGTCCTCCTCCGACTGTTGTTGTTGCTGCTGCTGCTGCTGCTGCTCTTGCTGCTCCTTGTACAGCTTCAGTTGCATCAACATGGGCGTCTCCTCGGCATCGTTGATGGCCAGCTTGTTGCTGTACACGGGCACATAGTTCACATTCTGTGGGGATTTAGGTGCCTGCTTTTTGGGTAAAATGGGCACCGCCGGCTGCAGCTGCAGCTTCAGCTTGGGCCGGAGGGGCGGCTGCTGCCCCGCGCTGGGCTGCACCTGAATAATGGGCGTGCGGCTGGCCTCGTGCACCTTCAATATGGGCTTCAGCTGGAAGGACGGGCTGCCCGCATCCTTTCCTCCTGTTGTTGTTGCTGTTGTCAAACTGCTTAAATTTGAGCTAAGACTAATTGTTGTTGTTGTTGTTGCTGTTGTCTCTGCTATTGTTATTGTTGTCATTGTTGCTGCTGTTGTTGTTGTTGTGTTTTGTGTGCTAGTTGTTGTTGTTGTTGTTGTTGTTGTTGCTGTCGACCTTCCTGCCGTCACACTTATGTTATCATCCAGCCCAGGCCCAGCTGCGCTTTGTGCGTTTTCTTTATCTTTTTTTTTGTTTTTTTTTTTTGTTCAAACATTTACAACATTTACAAAAATTTTTCAATAACCACAAAAATGGAAAAGAAAGTTATATAAAATAATTTTTTGGTTTTTTTTTAATATTTTTATTTTTTTTTTGTGTTTCAGTTTTGAGCCCATGATTTGAGTTTTTTTTAAAATTTTTTTTTTGTTTTGAGTTGGGTTTTAGTGCGAAATTTACAGCGGCTTTTTAGTAGACGAAACACCAAGCACCCAGTTGCCATGATTGATGAAAATGTTTTAAAAACCAAACTACTCAAGGAAATTAACTGCAGTCTGACAAAAAAAATAAAAGTTTCAACAAACTAACTAAAGAAAATGCCAAAAAAAAAAACGGCGTAAATTTGAAGAAAAAAATGTTGCCTGCTTTTAGGCTTGGGCTCAGGGAACAGATTTATTCAATATTTGTTTCAATTAATTGGCCATGAATAAATGTGTGTGTGTGTGGCAGGAAGGTTTTTGTTTTTATCATTATTCAATTGTTTACACATTTCGCCCTTGTTTTTGTTGCCTTTGCATAATAGTACAAATTAATTAAAACATAAAAAATGCAGCTAACTAAAATCAAAAATAAATAAACTACAGTTTTGTTTGTTTAGTTTGGCATCGAATTAAATTGGCATGCAGTTGGGGTTAGGGGGAGGTTTGTGATGATAGTTGTTAATAGTTCGCATATGGCTTAAAGTGTTAACTTAAACCTAAAGCAGCAGCTAGTTAGTTTCTAGATAATATATAGCACAACTATTAAAGTTACAAAGCTCAAAACTACTCTACAAAGCAGTTGCCAGCTTAATCATAGATATTTACAAGGCTGCAGGCGCTAAGAGAAGCTGGGCGAGGGGCAGCAGGTGTAGGTGTAGGAAATACAAAACAAAACTATTATATAAGCACGACCAGAATAGGCCAAAGGCAGCTGCCGAAAGTACACTCAAAGAAAAGAAGCATACAATTGCCAGGCTTCCATTTAAATGGAGAAAGATATCGAGTAAAGAGGTTCAGACAGAAGAAAAGTTAACAATGTACAAAAATATATATAAAATATTCCCTAAGCCCTAAACTTCGTACTCAGAAAGAAAGGGCCAAAAAAAGATACCCTTTATGGAAGATTTTATCTCCAAAGATTAATTACTAATTTGTGCAATGAATGTTTAGAATAATTGAAGAACTTTCTAACATTCACAAGTTTATTATGCATACTTTTTTTTAAAATTAAAAAAAATTGTCTATAATTTTTTTATACAAATTGACTTTGTATATTTTTTATGATTTTTTTTTTTTTTGAGTATTTTGGACAAACTGTTTTTGGAATTTTTGCAAGTTTTCAATTTAATTTTTAATTTATGAAATTAATTTTATTTAAAAAAAGGAAATCAGAAAAGTTTTCTTGAAGATTACGAAAGTTTCAATTTAATATTTAATTTATTTATTTATTTAATTTTTCTTTATTTTTAATAACGCAAATTCTGGCGAAAATAATCAGAAAAGTTTTCTTAAATTTATTTAATTGAATTTTATTTTGTATTTTAATTTAATTTTAATGCAAATTCTGGCATTCAAAATTTTATTTCGATTTAAGATATTAGTAAATTATTTAATCAATAAATAAATATAGCTGCGAGCACAAACATTATTTATATCTTAAAAAAAATTTTAATCATTTTTTTTAAAATTTTGTTTACACCTAATTTTTTTGAGTGTAGCTAAAAGGTAGCTGGAAGGCACTTCAATTGCAACAGGAGAGCAAAGCCAAAGAGCTAACAAAAGTAAAAGTAGAAACTACGCCAGAACAAAGGCAAACTTGCAACGTGAGAGAGAGAAAGAGAGAGAGAGAGACAAAGAGAGAGAGAGAGAGCAAGGCAGAGATAGATAGACTTAAAGCAAAGCAAAAAATGGGGGGGGGCGGGTAAAATAGTGCATAATAGAAAGGAAAAGCAAATCGGGTACTCACCCTCGTCATCCGAGGAGTAGCTGTTGTAGACACCGCCGGGACCCATATTCGCGTGCGTTTCCGATCTGGAGCGCTGAATGCCCGCCGAGTTGCTGCCGCCGGCTGCGGCAGGATTGGAATTTGTGGCTCCTGCGGCAGCTGGTCCAGAATTGCCAACGAGTCCGGTTTTGCCGGCATGCGGAGCGTAGCGTGCACCGCTGGCCACGGCCGTGGAGGCGAGCAGGATGTTCGGATTGCTGCCCAGCTTGGACATGGCCGACATATTGCTGCCGCCCTGCTGGACGCCCTTGCGTGTCAGCGGTGACTGCAGCATGCGCTGTTTCCATTCCAGTAGACGCTTCATGGACTCCTCGCGCTTGCGTTCGCCATCGAGCGGATTCGGCGGCGATGGCCCCCCGGCGCCCGACGTCGGCGATGTGGCCAGCGAATTGTTGGCCGTCGAATAATCATCGTCCAGGCCGCCGTTGCGCTTGGGCAGCCGTGCGCTGGCCGAGCGCAGAAACTGTTCGTTCTTGCTGATGATCTCCTGCGTGGACATCGACGGCGGGAATATGCTGCCCGGATGCACGTTAAGTGGCGGCAAGTCCACATCCTGCTGCTGCTGCTGCTGTGCGTGCGAGGAGACCGAACGCGCTGCGGCACCGCCGCCGGCGCCCTGGCTGGCCGAGCGACTCATCCGCGGCATGCTGCACGCGGCGCTGCTCTGCGCCGCCTGCGCCTCGGCCAGCAGCTCCTGGCGCTGATGGGCGCGCTCATAGGGATTCTCATAGCCAATCGTGTGCATGCCGCTGCCAAATTCGGCCGTGCGATAGCTGCCCGCCTGCTGTGGCTGGGCGCCTCCGCCTCCGCCTCCACCTCCGCCTCCGCTCTGCAGATACAACGCGCTCTTGCGCATCTTCTCCGCATAGCTGGCCTCCGAGTAGTAGAAGCTGTCCGGCGTGCGATTGATGTCCAAACTGGATTTGGGTCGCGGCGCTCGTCCGCCCGCCTCCTGTTTGCTGTGCGCCACGGCGGCGGCGGCGGCGGCAGCGGCAGCCGCCTCGGCACGCGCCTCGTACTCCAGAAAGTCGGCGGAATGCGGACGCACAATCGCCGACGCGGACCGTGCACGCAAGTCCATGTTATTGATTAGCTGATCGGCGGCCGCGGGCTGGATGGGGGGAAGAAGAGTTCAGAGTTATAAAGTGGAGGCAAATTGGCCGGGCGCATAAATCATGCACGCGACTCGTTTCCTGGCTGACCCACAAAAGCAGCTGCAGCTGCAACCACGTCGAAAAGGGCGAGCAGCCCATAAAGTTGCACTTTGGGCGCCAATTGCCGCACAAAACGTCTGCAATTTAGCAACCCACTGACATACTAAACTCTAATTAGTGGGCGCGGCACTTACGACCAACTCTTTGCGAACTGCAACTGAGTTCAGACTGCAGGCTGCAGGCTGCCCCCCTTTAACTCAAGGCACAGCCTTGAAGTCCTTATGTTCTGCTTCTCTCCATAAAAATGTAGGAAAATGCATTTGTAATTGACGTTCTCCATTTAACTGAGGCCTGAAGCTAGTTATGATTCATATTTAATGAAAGTTAACTGCATTTGGTAGACCAGAAGCCAGATACTAAGTTTCGTATTTCTAACTCTTATAGTCCTCGAGATAATAAAATTGTTTCTACATAAAGTTGTAATTCTCTTCATTTTTGGTTTAACTAAGGCGTGATTCCAGTTATGATACATATTTAATGAAAATTAACTGAATTTGGTATGCCAGAGTCCTTATTCCAAGTTTCATATCTCTAACTCTTATAGTTCCCGAGATAATAATATTAACTTTACATATAGTTGTAATTCTTTTGGTCTTGGTTTAACTAAGGCGTGAAGCTAGTTACGATTCATATTTAATAAACGTGATATTTATTTGATATGCCAGAGCATACATTCCAAGTTTTATATCCCTAACTCCTATAGTTCCCGAGATAATAATATTAACTCTACATATAGTTGAATTTCTCCTGTTTCTTGGTTAAACTGAGGCGTGAAGCTAGTTGTGATCAAGATTCAATGAAAGGTATTAGCATTTATAATGCCGGAACCCACATACCAATTCTCAGATCTCTAACTCTTATAGTCCCCGAGATAGTAATATAATTCCTACATATAGTTGCAAAGCTCTTGCTTTTGGTTTAACTGAGGCGTAAAGCTAGTTATGATCCATATTGAACAAACATAAACATCCTTTAGAACCCACATACTAAGTTTTATTTATCTAACTCTCATAGTACCTGAGATCGTTGAGAGTACTTTTGTTAATGATATGCCTTATTATAGGCCTGAAGATACCTGCCCCTCCTCAACATCAACATTTTTATTACTCTATCATAGTCGCCGCATAACCCTTTTACAGAGTATTAAATCTCCCAAAAGACAGCTAGCTGCATGCCAGCAACTTTACCTTGTTTGCCAAATCTCATAAATTTATAAAGCAAATTATAATTTTTAATTCGCTCGTAAGTTCAAACAAAACGGAAAGTATTCACTACTCAAATATGAAAGTTTTCATAAAAGTTTTTGCTTTTCGTAAAGATTAAAGTTGTGGAAATTATTTGGCAAACCTTAATTAGTTTCCGCCAACACACTTGATATATGTAAGTCTATATAAGGTGCGGTAACAACTTTTTACGCGCAGTGAGTTCTAGAGAATTTGAGGAGAGCTGTATCAATCCTTTCCGGCACTATGCTGAGTTTATCTCTGCTTCCTTTAGAGATGCACGAATAAATGTTTAGTCTGTCTTAAAGACAGCAATCCGAGCCTAACCTAACCTCAAACTAATCTAACTTAGCCTAACTTTAGCAAACCTAACCTAACTTAACGGCATGTTAGGTAACCTAACCTAAAAAAAAGTTACTCCCATCTCTAGAAAAATGGTATCGCTAATGCAATCGACTAAATCGTGTGTATGTGTGTCAAATGCTTGACGCTGTCTATCAATCATGTTGTTGTCGAAAGTTATCGCAAGTCAAAAACTTTTTCCATTTAGCATAAAGTGGAATTGATGATAGCCAAGGGAGGAGCGGCAAGCCAAAGAAAAAATAGTTAGACATTTTTTATTTTATTTGTCCGATTCCTGTTGGGTTCTGGTCAAGAAATTTGAACACTCGAAGAGAAGTTTACTAGATAATATCCAAAATTTGGAATTCCTGGTTTCAGTTTTTAAAACATATTTTTTCTACACTACCATTTCGACATCTCCTCTCATTGTCATAATATCGATATATATCGACGACCCTTGGTTCTTTTCGATATCTCTATATCTCTGTACCATTTCGATATCTCCTCCAATTTTCATTACATCGATAAATATCGATTTTGAGACATAGTTTTTTAAGCATAGCTCGAAGATTATAAGAGCTGGAGACAAGAACTTTGGTATGTAGGTTCCCACATAAATTACAGATATTAGGAACATTTTATTTTTTGGATACCTGCCGTCTATTCTGAGTACCTACAAGTCGGGCACACCCGACTGGCGCACAATTACTTGCTAAAGGAGGTAAAATAGAAAGGTTCAAATTGTGAGAATTAAATAGGAGTTCCTAGCTAGGTTCGACATAAAAACGATTGGCAGCCTGGTTCATAGTTGAAGAGAAAGTGAAATTTCAGAACTTGCTGTTAAATGCATTGTGCTCTTCTTTGGCCACAAGTGTCTGCAAAGTAAAAGCCTGTCTGCGTGTTGAGGTAAACTTTTGAAGTAGGTCAACCCCCCGATCCTAACCAGGAGTGTGGTCCACATTTGGCCTAGGTGCAACTTTTTGGCTTCTATTGGGAAAAGTTCCAAGCTGGACAGAGGCAGGGGAAGAAAAAGAGGCATAAGACCTACCTCCAAGTGATTGGGCGTATAGCGTTGGGGCATGGCGGGTACATGCTTGCTGCCATCATAGCTGGGCGGGCTGAGTGGCCGCCTATAGCTGGCCGCCTCCTGGAGGAGCGCCTCGTGGGCGCTGAGTGCGCCGCCGCCGGCGCCCGCCAGCTGCGACATATTGTAGATATCCTCGTAGTCCGCGGCAGCTGCGGCGGCGGCGGCAGCGGCAAACATACGCTGCTGCTTGGATCGACCGTAGGCGTCCGGTGTGCGTCGCTCCGCCTGGAGCTGGAGCTGTTGGAGCTGCTGCTGCTGCTGTTGCTGCTGAGTCGGGTAGCCGCGCTGCATGAGCTTGGCCATGTAGAGATCCCGTTCGCCGTAGATCTCCTCGACGGCGCGCTGCTGCTGCAGGCGCGCGATCTGCTCCTCCATGTCGAGATGCTGCTGCTGGAACTGCGCCTCCAGATGATCCAGCGAGTACTGCTGCTGCGCCTGCTGCAGCTGCAGCGCCGTCGACACATGGCCCGTCCGTGTATCATAGATGGCATGATGCTGCTGCGCCTGCGGCTGCTGCGGCGGCTGCTGAGATCTTTGCTGGTACAGCTGCTGCTGCTGCTGCTGTGTGCCGGGCGAGAGGATGCGGCGACTAGGTGGCAGCGGCTGCTGCTCGTTGTGCTCGGGCGATGGCGAGGAGTAGCCGCCGTCGTTGATGCGTCGCGGCTTCGGCGGCGCATTCGCATACAAAGGCTGAGCTCCGCCTGCGCCCGCGCCCGGATTGTCCGAGGCGGGCGTCACCTGACCCTGACCCTTGCCGGGCTGCGACTGGAGCGTGTGTATGCCCGAGTCGGAGTTCTCGCCGCTGTGATTCAGCGAGGAGCTGACGCTCGGCTCCGATTCGCCGCTGCTGGGCGCCTGCATCAGACTGGCCGCTGCCAGGGCGCGGACCCACTGCATCATCGCATCGGCGCTGTCGGCGGCGAGCCAATAGGTGCGCATATTCTGGTGCTCGCACTTGAAGGCGAACTTGCGATAGATCTTGTCCTCCGGCAGGCAGGCGGCCACGCGATACGACGGCAACAGCACCGAGCCCAGCAGCTTCTCCTCCTCCGGCCCCTTGTAATAGTACAGACAATATTCCGCGAGGACGAACCAACGCTTGCGCCACACTTTGAGCCCGTCGGAGCCCTGCTTGTGCAGCCAGCCGGAGAGCGTGACGGGCGTGGTGGGCGGACGCTTCGTGATGGGCGACTTGAGCGCCTGCATCGAGCCGATGCTCTTCTTGCGATCGAGCGGCGCATGGGTGGGACTGCGCGTGGACGCCGATGAGGACTCCTCCGAGCTGGGCGTCGGCTTCGGCCGCGTGACGCTCGAGATTTGTGTCTGGCAGGCCTGATTGACCACATGACCGGGATGATTCTGTTGTATATAGACGGGTCCGTGCTCGCTGCCAGGCGTCTGCTGCTCCGGCTTGTGACGCTGCTGCTGCTGCAATTGCTGCTGCTGCTGCAATTGTTGCTGCAGCTGTTGTTGCTGCTGCAGCTGCAGCTGCAACTGTTGCTGCTGCTGGGCATAGAGCTGCTCCTGGTAGTGCTTGGGCAGCTGCTGCTGTTGCTGCTGCTGCTGTTGCAGCTTCAAGGGGCCCGAGGCAGCCTGATATTGATTGGCCAGATTCAGCGTGGAAGGTGGCGCCCGCTGCTGCTGCTGTTGCTGCTGCTGCTGCTGCTGTTGCTGCTGCTGGAGCGTCATGTTGGAGGCCATGCTGGCGGATTGACTCATGTGGTAGTGGCCCGTGGGCGGATTCATGGCCTGCCGCATGGCGAATGTGCGCTGCTGCTGCTGCGCCGCCTCGCTCTGCGTCGCAAGCTGTGCCTGCATCTTGGCCTGCTGCAGCTGTTGGTATTGCGCCTGCAGCGCCGATATTGGATGTTGGCCCGCTGTCGCATTGCTCGCCTGCAGTCGGCCGGCAGCTGCCAGATATGTGCGCTCCGTGGGCGATTGATACAGTTGCTCCCCTCCTCCGCTCGAATATGACTGATGATAGGGTGAGCTGTGCGAGCTGCTCGAGTTGCCGGCATGCGTATGCTTGAGCAGGCCGTGCTTCGCCTGCGGCTGCATATCGATGGGCGAGAGTGGACCGCCGCTGGACGAGGTGGCCGTGGGAGATTGCTGGTAGAGCGCCTGCGTGGCCAGATGATAGCCGGCGGGCGAATGTGTTGCCGTGCGATAGTCAATCAGGTTCGTTTGATAGGCCAGCGGCAGTTTCTTCTGCTGATGCTGTGCTGCCGTTGCCGCCTGCAGCTGTTGCAGCTTCTTGGCGTCCATGGTGCCGGCCGTGAAGAGCGGTGGCGCCTCCAACCTGCAAGCGAGAGAGAGAGAGAGAGAGACAGAGTTCAGACACAGATTGAAAATGCTCCAATTAGCAAAGGTCGCCGGCATTAATTCAATTGCGTGGACAGCAGCTTAAGCCCGCCGCTTCAACGAGGCTTTCGCCCCAAATGAAACAAAGAGCCGCGCCCTAATCCGCGCCAGCGGCCGGAACTGTGCGACGGGGCTCAGCGCGCGTAATTGATGGTAATTGATTGAGTGCAGTTGCTGTGCCCCACTAAAGGCAGCCGGAGCTACGGCTCCGGCGCTGAGCCCATTGAATGTGGTTAAAAACAAAAAGCGTACATTGATTTTTGCGCAAGTGCATGTAGCACATGAAGAAAAAGAATATATGAATTCCTGATTAATATCTGTATATATAATATATATATTCCTGATCAGCTTGAACAGCACAGTCATTATAGTCATATTAATATGGTTGTTTCTATGCAAACTAGTTTCTCTGTTTTAAAGCTAATATCATCAAAAACATTGCTCAGTTTTGTCTTTCTGTTGGAATCGAACGGATCGGCTTACTATATCATATAGCTGCCATCGAAATGATTCGTCGAAAAGTACGTTCTATCATGGCAAATTTTTTGTTTTTCAAAATATTGGGACTTTACTCGGCATTTGCTAATTTAAATATGCTTCTCATATATTCAATCTTGTAAAACTTTTTAGTTTTTCAAGATATCTTTAGATGCTTTTACTGGACATTTCTTATGTATCAAAATCGGACCACTATATCATAAAGCTGCCATAGAAACGTTCTGTCGATATTTAAGTACTTGTGTGGACAACCTTTTGGTTTATCAAGATGTCTTGCCCTGTGCTCCTTACTCCTTACTGCTATGCTCCTTAGATATATGCAAAATCTTTTCAATATCGGACTACTATAGCATAAAGCTATCATAGGATAAATAGCTTGAAAATTAAGGTCGTCTATAAACAATTTTTTATAATGATATCTTGACTATCTCCGACACTTAAAATAAACCATGAACCAAAATCATATCAAGAACGCACTACTATATTATATAGCTTTATAGGTAGAATCGTTTGAAAAGTCAGTTTATTTATAACAAAATATTCTGTTTTCAAGATATTTGCGTCAAGCTCAATATTTGCGAGCTTCACTATTCTCAGAAATCTGCAAAATCGTGAGGCAAATATCAAGAAGAGTTTTAAACCTTCGGCGTGCCGCAGTTATCCACATTTTAATATATCTTAAATAATACATTCTTTAATAACTTAACCAAACGCGGCACATTCTAGCTTGACTAAGCTTAACTTAAAAGTGGGAAAACTCATATAACATAAAGTTCTATGTGGAAAAAACTATGAAAATATGATTTCCCTTTGGTTCTGTTTTTCAAGATATCTTCACTCTTAGCTCGAAAATTCTTCTCACTTATCTGCGAAATCCTATAAATTCAGACTACTCGATTATATGGCTGCTATAGAAAGAATAAATTATTCAATGATAGCATTTTTTAATACATTTTTACAAGGGAAAGCTTTTTTTCTGGCTTAATTTTTGCACTTTTCGCGCATTTAGTTTTGTTTTTAATCAATTTTCAGGATTTAACAACTTACCAGTCCCATAGCTGATAAATGCAGCCAAACATGTTTTCGCCTTCTATTTTACTTTATTTATATTTTATTGCAGACGACTTAATTAGTTTATAATTTAATTGGCTTTATCAATAATTCAATTGCGCGCACTTTTCCAATCGCCTTTTTTTGCGACACTTTTTATATTATTTGAATTTTATTTTGATTGTAAGCGAAAACTCAATTACGCTTTTCATTCTCATTTTCCGAATGAAATGTGGCAAGAGTCTCGTTTTATTGTTTTTCTTTTATTTTGTGATATGTTTAGTTTGTGCCACGCTGTCAGAGAATGAAAATATCGCCCAGTTGGCCAGTTGAAAAAAATGTCTATTTTTATTGAGGACAGCCGCCAGATTTATGGCTCACAATTTTCGGATGCAAATTGAAAATGCGTTTTGCAGTTGAACATTTATTTCATTAGGCGCAAAGAAATATATCTCCGAGCACACCGAGTAAATATTGTTTTATTTACTCGCATTTTTGTTTTCGGACACACATTAAAACAATATTTGAAATCTGTTGAAATTTCAATTGGGAAACAAATTCAACAAATTGCTCGTTGAAATAACGTTTTGCAAAATATTTGCCTTTTCTATAAATTCCAAATCATTTAATTTTTAAATTATTTGGTTTCTTTTTCCAGGACTTGGCTAAAATGTAAACTTTGCTAATGGAAAAATGTGCAAAAATTGAAGCAAAAATTGTGTGAATGCAAAACGGATCAAAAATTAATAGAAATGTTTTTTTTTTAGGGGCAAGGAATTTGCAATCAATTTTGCTTGAATCAACAACTAGCAGCAAGTCGAATTTACTAATTTAATTAATAGACATATAGGTTTTGGTGGAAAGGAGAGGAAATTACCCGGCGTTGCAGGGATGCAATGAAGAATATCTAGAGTGCAAGTAAAGGATTGAGTAATTCTCGCCAACTTCAAGAAAATGCAAAGCCATTTAACTTTTAAACTGTAATAAAATACTAATAAAATTGTAATAAATACATCAAAAATTGACGTGTTTACTGAGATATTACCTAAACTGTGCACATCGAGTTCTAATACCTCAAAGTCCCCATTGTCCCTATTGCGGCCCAATCAAACAAACTAAGAAACTCATTAGTGCGCACCTTGTTCATGTTAGCAAAGAAAAAAAACCTTTTAAAAGAAGACATTTTCTTAATTTAAATAAATATTTATAATGATTTCACAGGGTTTTGAACCCTAAACTAAGTGCTAGCATACTATGCCAAAGAAATTAAATTATATTGACACTACAAAGAAAGCAGGAGAACAAAATGTAAGCTTCGGACATCCTTGTGCCAATCTGGATCTGTTTATGATAGAAGCAAGTGCTCGCCTTTTCTGATTATAGCTAATTATAGCTTATAGATGGCTAGAATCATCTTCACACTGTATTTCTTATATGTGCTAAAAAGCCAGTCCTGTTCTTAACTACATTCTAATCTGACAAGCTCGAGGTCAAAGTTGGGCATAACGACTAAAAACAATAGGGTATAAGCACCAAGAGTGAGCAGATTGTCTGCATAGCTATTTCAAGAACCTTCCGGTTCCATCAGCAGCAGACACTGCTACCGACTCTTGCCTTGCTCTCAGCTTTAACCACTTGAGAATTATAAGCACCATAACTTTAACTACATACATTCTTTAAAAGTTCGCCGCTGCTCGACCAAGCTGGCAAACCGACCTGGCAGCCAACAGCCGCAATTAAATATGACTATTTCTGCTTGAATGGAAGCATATACCTTTACAAATATATATATATATATATGTGTGTGTGATATAAGGACTGAGGGAGCGACATTTGCCGCAGCTGTCAGATGAGCCGCTGTCGATAACGAAGTCAACGGGAAAATGCATTTAATGCAATTGACCAGAGCTTTCCAATTATTTGACACAAATGAAATGAGAGTCACAGATATGTGTGTGCGTGTGTGTGTGTGTGGCACATAAAATAATCGACGTTGCATTTGAGAAATGATTTATAAATTGCGAATATCATTTATTTAATGCAGCTCGCAATCGATTTTTAAAAACAAAACAAAACAAAATATAACATGCATAGCATGCTTCGAGTTGCGCCTGCCACATGCCGCATGGGCGGGGCCGAAGATGTGTTAGAGCCAAGTTAACAGCGCCTGGCAACACAATAAAACTTGGCACAAATGTCGACGTTTGTGCATTAAAAGCAAAATCCTGTTGAAAATGTTGCGCAATAAACAAACAATTGATCCGGGATTTAAGTGTGTGTGTGTGTGTGAGAGTGTGTGTGTGTGTGTGTGTCGCTTGTTTTGTTGCCAACAAATGTTAAATCATGGCATTAGCTGCCTTCGGCGTGGCCATTTCACGCTACAATCAACAGCCAGGCTGGCCAAGTAACAGAAGGATAAAAGCTGACCCAGACGAAGGGAGCTAGGAGCTAGGAGCTAGGAGAAGGGAGAAGGGGGAAGTGGGAAAGCCATTTTATAATTGCCTTCGAGCCGGGCCACAATTTGTATGGCTTTCAATTAACGCTTTCCCAGCCAGGCATTTTCCATTCCGCAGCAGAAAGATGTGGCCAAAAGCAAACGCACAAATAAAATATTGGCAGGCGAAACAATAATAACAGTCGGAGTAGCAATAAAGGGCGCAAGAACGAAGCAACAAGCTTTTGACCAGCAGATACCCTGTAAATTGTTTTTTAATTTATCTATCAATTTATCTATACAAATGCAAGAGTTTGTCCTGACTGAACCGAGTCCGTAAAAGCTTAGATGCTTACATTTTTGCTGAGCGTCACACTCACATGCGAGAAGTCGCTGGTTCAAATCTTGCATTTTTTATTACTTAAAGATTATTTAACCCTTTCATATCAACTTTATGGCTGCGGGTATAAAAAATATAATACATTTTTACTGAGTGTCGCACTCACAAGCGAGAAGTCGCTGGTTCAAATCTTAAAGTTGTAAATAGTTAACGGTTATTCAACCCTTTCATAGCAACTTTATGGCTGCGGGGTATAAAAAATCGATGGCGATTTAACAAACGAGCTCAGGACTTGGCTGCCGCGCACAGCTAGCACTTCAGCATAAAACAGTGTTGGTAAAGGCATTGTATTCCTGTGGGCCATCTCTCTCTCTGTGTATGTGTACGTGTGAGTGTGTGTTTGCGAGACGGACGTCACTAATTTGTGCATGAAAAATAGCCAGAAAAAGTATTTATTTTATGCACGAAACGAAACGACGCGCTGCTCCACAAATTATGTGCATATAAATTGCAGCACACTGTCACACACAAATACATTTATATATGTATATATATAGCGTGCATATTTACATAAAGCATATGCGCAAATTATGCATTCAATGAAGCGCACTCATATCATCATCTAGCCAATATATGATTATTTACTTAACGCATTACAATTTTGCCGATTAGAGATCGACTCTCTCTCTCTCTCTCTCTCTCTCTCTCTCTCTCTCTCTCTGGCTGTCGATTGGGTTTTGTGTTTACATTCAATTCAGCTCGGGAAATACTAAAAGCATTTTTGCTTAACATTTGCAAAGTCTTATGCTATTTGCATTTGCTTGGCTTGTCGAACTATGCGAAATGCTTGTGGGCTTGTGGGCGTGGCAGTGCAGCTGTCAAAATTGAGGTATTTGAAAATATGAACTACATTCAGCTCTCTCAAATGTCAGTCGCATGTGAACTTCAATTAGCTTACTTATTGCGCATACGCCGCGTGTTACGCACAAATAAGCTGAAGTTATAAATAGAGTACAGAGCCTGTTTGTGCCATAAATAGACTTACGCATAAGCCAAAGTCAATATGAATATACGAGCGGTGAAATTTTATTTAATTGCAAAACAATTTGCCGCCACTTTTCCTAGCTTAGGCCCGGATTATTCAGCACGAATTTCTCATTTATTGCGTGTGGTTTGAAAAGTTCTTGCATTGAATTTATATTTAAAATGTGTAAAAATGAATTTAAGGCTGAAAAGTAGTTAATATTTTGTTTTGCGAAGGCAACTTTCCTCAAGCTCTGTCAACTACATCACAAAAGTTAAGGCATCAATCAGTCAATCAATCAAGACAAACAGCAAAAAATCTGTCGAAATCATTGCCTACAACTTGGCGTGGCGTGGCAGCAGCTTTGAAGTCGCGTATTAATTGCTGCCACGCATGCAACATGCATGTTAACCGGCAATGCGCTGGCCAGCCGCAATGACGTCATTGCCAGCAATTGGCAGCAAGTGTCGCCCCGGCAAGTGGACACTAATAAGAGCCGAAGATACGAACCACAAGCACAGCCACAACCACAACCACAGCCAATGACCCACTCAGCGAGCCATTTCACTTGAAACCGTGTTGCCCAGACTCAAGCAGCCGGCGGCAGCTGAGCTGGCCAAGAGGCGAGCGAGTAGTTGGCCAACTTAATTAATACTGTGAAGGATACTCGCTGGCTCACCCGCCCACCCACTCACCCACCCACCCTCTCTCCCGCCCACTCTCCCGCTCTTGGCGCATTTGTAAGTACGCAAAGTGCAATTATAAATATACTCATCAGCCGGATTTCGAGGGGGAAACGAAAGTAGCTGAAAGAAAAAATAAACGAACTGGGCCGCAAAATGTGTAAATGTGTAGCATCAACTTCATGCAACAATATAACAAAAGGAAAAATCAATAAACGAAGCGAGCCGCAGGCACAAGACAGCGAATACTTTGAGATACTTGTACAATGTGTACACAAATATATATATATATCTGTTTATTGCTGGGCAGAGCTATGGAAATGCTGACAAAGTTGCTGTGAGAATTACACACACACACACAGTGACAGGAGCTACAATGTGTCGCGCTGCGTGTTAGCAGCTAAGTAAAAAGGAAAACCTTTTACTTTTTCTTTCTGATACCCTAAAACCATAAAAAATAGTTAAAAAGGGAAAATTAGTTTTGTGCGTACGTAGGTAACAGGCAAAAGGACGCATCTTCGATAAAATTAAATTTCTCAAAATCGATATTTATCGAAATAATAAAAAACGGGCGAAGATCTCGAGATTAAAATTCAGTTTTTCTTCTTCTCTGCAAGAACTTTAACTTTTAAATATATATATTCGTCTATTCACATATCTCAATAATTTCGCCGATTTTTATTATTATTTCGATAGATATTTAAGCATAGCTCGAGGATTATAGAAGCTAGTTATATTAAACTTGGTATGTTGATGCTCGTATAGTTCATGCATATTAAGAAAATTTCACATTTTACGTAATCTCCTGCCTTGCCTCAAAAATTGACAGGAAATGTTTATTTTAAAGCTAGATCCTTGAGCTTTGGTATGTGCACACTTTTTTATGTCATGTCTAAGCCC